CTGTACTATAGCACCACATATACGATAAAGCTTTAGAGTCAGCCATTTGCCACAGGTGCTTGCGTTATGATCACCGGTTCGACCCGACGGCGCTCGCCTCACCTCTAGAAACAACCCACATAGGAAAACTACGCAGTCGTAGACCACAGTACATCGCATGACCAGAACCCAGATCCACTCACCGAAGTATATCTCGGATTGCACAATGGGGGGCTGTATGCCAGTATTCATTGGAAGGCTTCGGCGGCGTCTATGCTATGAAGTTACCATTTACCATACAGATGTGCCACTGACCCTTTTACCTTGCGCCCAATCGACCTCGACAAGCATAGGAATGGCCTCGAAACGAAGGGGGAGGCGATTCTAGCCCGGGTACGCGATATTCTATACATGTGATCTATCAAAGGTATGGAGATCATGGGCACTCTGCTACAAATGGTGTGCGTCACGGTACCCATGCACAAGCACACCGGTTGGATTCGAAATTGAACATGAGTCCGTCCACTGCATAAACTACCTTGTTCCATGGGGGGAAGTTTCGGGACTGTCAACGTTTTATCTAGCGGGCGGAGCGTGTTGTACCGAGGCTGTGTCACCCGTCACCAACAGGTGCTGGGGCAGGGATGAAGTTCGAAAATGATGGGCGCTGACTGAACAAGGAGAAGAGAGACAATAAACGAGCAGATTTTGGTCATAGACTGGATTATCCGATGCGGCCAAAGTACGTGAAAAGAACCATTTTCAATGAAGAAGGATCGAAACCAGTAAAGAAGTAATCTCTCGTACAAAAACAAGGTTTCAATGCAATGGGTCGCCGCTTCGCAGCACGGCAGGTTCGACACACAAGACACAAAAACGTCATATCACTTCTGCGACAGATCCAACCCGGTACGCCGGTAATAGTACTGCCAAAACTGTGAATGAAAAGGAAGGAGAAAAAAGAGGTCAAGTCCCTAGGTGGAGGCAATGTTGATGTGCTTTTCTCATTCTCGGAGAGAGAAAGACGATGAAAGTTGGTAGTATCAGTAATAGACGAGATTTGAAAATGAGATAGAGCTGGGGAGGGAGGCTATAGCAGAGGGCGGGGGGGATATGGAAATAAGAAAAAGCCTATTACAGTAGAGAATCAAGTCTAGTGAAAACGCTCAAACATGCTGCCACAATCTGTGTCAAAAGGAAGTTAGCTATCGGGGCAGTTCCAAATTCAATGAGTGGCTGTACGTACCTCCAACTGGAGCTCTTTGTCCTTAGCCTTGTTCACCTCGTCATTAATAGCCTGCGCCAAATTGGCTCCGATGGCTTGCGAGCCACCTGCCCTCCGGCCGAACGGCCACTGCGAGTACTCGGCCAACAACTCATCTACCTGCGCGAATGCCCGTTCCCGAGCCTCGTGGCTCATTGTGACCAGCGCATTCTCCAGAACATTGGCCGCATACGCGGCGCATACCATGGTGATCGTCCGCAGGTAGCGGAATTCAGCGTCCTCGGGAAGCCAGGCGTTGCCGGGAAGGATGACGGTGCGACTGCTGCAGATGTTGCGGACACGGCGGTGGAGGTCGTCCTTGGCGCCGCCGTCAGCCACGGGGTGTGTAGCCATATCAAAGAGGAGGAAGTTGCGCTTCTCGGTGCGCAGGATGCCCTTGTCGACCAGGCCCTTGGCGAGACGTTCGCGCACTTGCTTCAGCTGGTAACCAATCTTCATCAAGTTCCATGTTTCACCTGGTCCCAACAGATCAGTTTTGTCGATGTCAACCCAGAGAATACCAGAAACCCTTTGTACGCACCGCTCAGTAGATCGATCCAGGAGTTGACACTCATCTTCTCGCTCGACTTCATTATTTTCAACGCCTCGTCCAGCAAGACCTCGCCCGTCAGCGTGTCATCGATCACCTCGATCACCCGATCGGCCAAGGGGAAACGTCGTCGAGAGGAATCCTTCTGCATGCTGATGCGACCGCGGAGGGCCAGTTCGATCACGATGCACCCTCGCAGGGCGTAGGAGATGTTCTCATTCCAGAACGAAAGGTAGCCCTACAATACCGACATGAAAAGGCCGCGGTCAGCAATTGAGACATCGCCCCGTATATCGATCGCCCCACAAAAACAAAAGCCGAGATAAGGATCGCAAGGGAAAGTGCCCAACCTGTTTATCTTTCAATCCCAGTAGGAGTACCTCCTCCATCAGGGTGAGCTTGGGCTGTTTGCTGCGCTCCTCCGTTTCGCTGATGTCTCGGGGGTCGAACGCGATCTTATGACCATTTTCGGCGCTGGTGAATGACGTTTCGGGGACGCGGTTGTCCAGCGACGAACCGTTTCTCGATATGGGCGAAGAGACTCTGCTGTCATCATTGTCTTCTGCGCCAGCGACTCGACCGCCACCTCTCCGGCGAGTCAAGCCCCCGGCTGAGGCCATGAGGATTTATCGAACGGTGCGTTTGGGGGGGGGAGTGGGGGGGAGGAGGGAGGGAAGGTGGAAGTGGTGAGTTTGGCGGAAGCGGGGAGAGTGCGAGATCAAAGGATTGAGGCCGAATGAAGGGAGGGGCGTTGGATCGTGTTGGAAAGGTGCACACGCCAGGAATGAGGTCTATGCCGGTATCGCCTGCGACATGAACCGATTGATTGTACTGTAGATTGAGTCTGACCCCTTTGGGAGGTTTGGGGGGCGAAAGAATTGTAGAAAATCGGAATGATCGAAAAGGGAAGAAGAAGCCGAGATGAGAGACGGGATTAACTATGGCTTAAGCAGTTTAAGCGGGAAATGATCCCAGGGGGAGGGGGGGGGAAGAGAAGGGTGGAGTGGAGTGAGTGGAAGAGAAGATCGGATTGACACAGAGAGCTGAGAGAGGTGCAAATGGCCGAATAAAGGAGTCAATCGGCCAAGAGTCAAAAAGCACCACTCAACAATTAGTTAATTTCGTTGGAGATGGATGATTTCCCAGCAATGCGAGAAGAGAAGAAAGAAAGGAAAGCAGACAAGATCCCCAGTTGTCCGTCTGACAGAAAGAGTACTCAACAATTAATTATCTCAATTATCTCAATTTCACTGGGTACTTTCTTAAAGACTATCTGGCGCTTCGTGGTGTCCGGCCATCAGCTCTTGTCGCGGCTGCTTTTAGTGTTGCTCCTCCGGTGACGGAATTGCCCGCAACGCTTTGGACAATCGGCCTGTCTTCACTTCCTCAACAATGACCTTGGCACTTATACACATTCAATTGATGATATGACACATTGCAGTTTCAGAATAAAGACCTGTCCAGCTATAAGATCTGCCTTGCGAAGACAACTAGCACGTCCACCGTGTCGGTCTCCTTCGACATTCTCAATATCGCCTCATCTCCCCGGATCGCATCATATCAGATGAAAATTACCTCTCAATATGGAGAATGACTCTAATCTGTCTTTGTTCTCGACGTTCTACAGCTCTCGGTGGTTTTCGCTCGTCATATACAGCTTTGAGCCAGGTTCAATGACAACTTTTCACTTCTCGCTCGACTCAAGATTAAGGGCGATCCTGAGATCATTTACACGCGCTACGCGACGAAGACCCAACAAAGTATCGTATCGGTCAGAACGGCATTCCCAAAGGTGATATACACGATATAGTAGAGTATGAAAGAGCACAGGCATGTATCAGCATACAGGGTAGCATCCCCAGCTACCCGGAGTCTCCGCAGTGGCGAGTTTCCTGTAGATGCACGCCATCATCCCCTTTCGATTTCTTCTATTCTAATCCTCCAACAACTTCCCGGTTCCTCATTACGCGGGTATTCAGTGAGCTGCAGACATGTTAGTCGCAAGCTCTGCGATAATGATAATAAGAGGGGTAACTCACCATCGGGCTGGGCAAGGATGTACTCAACAGCCTTGTCGACTGTAGCGGAAGGCGATCAGTTCTCGATTCCGGGGAATTCTCTTCGATTTTTGTAGTGACTTACCGCTGTGGATGGAGTCGGCCTCCTTGTCGGGGATCTCAATGCTGAATTCCTGCAGGCATGTCAGTAAGCGCGCGTCGAGGCGAACTAGATGCGGCAAGCCGTACCTCCTCGATGGCCATGACGACCTCAACGGTATCCAAGCTGTCCAGACCAAGATCGTTCGTGAAGTGAGAAGCGGCGTTGATCTACCAGGTTATATATCGTTAAAAACATGGACCTTTTACCGAGGGATTTTCGCCGGAAGCCGGAGCCCAGCGGGGATCGACTCGAATCACTAACCTTGCTGGCGTCGGAAACCTGAAGCGCATTGAATCAAGATACGTCAGTTCATGTCATTTGGATAAATCTCGGCGATGCGAAACAACAAGCTGATAGACCTGCATCCGCCGCCTTGGAATGTTACTTGACGCACCTTGTCGAAGTTCTTCAACAGGTTGACAATGCGGCCCTCGACCTCCTCCTTTTTGAGACCGGCAGGAGCGGAGTAGAGACGGACACCCTGGTAGGCGAAGCGAGGAGCGAATTGAGCCGGGCGAGCGACAGCAGAGCTACGGATCTGGAAGGGAGCCGAAGTCTTGACGGCACGAGGGACAGAGGTCCGGAGGGAGCGGACGACAGCGGAGCGGAACATGGTGAATTATGTGAGAGTACCCGAATGGGAATAATTAGGAAGAAAGAAGTGTGGGGGTGGGGGGGAAGGGAGGAGGGAGAATGGAGAAGAGGTTGATTGAAAGTGATAGGAATAGCAGATGGAGGAGGGAGTGAGTGAACTCTGGGCTGGGTTGAGATGGAGACTGAATAAGTCGATGGTTTCTGTTGCGGCTCGGAGCAGCAAAATCCTGCCGCCGGCCAATCAACGGGAAGGAGAAAGCCATGACCTAAGCCCAATTCATTTTGGAAGAGTGCAAACTGAACCAAAACTGACTGACTGAACTGGAACTTGCTGGGAAGGCACGGTGACCACCACCACATTTGAACCTCCCTCCTTCAATTCCAGACTCCTCCTCTCCTCTCCCCCCTCATCCTATCCACCCCCCACCCCCCAAAGGATAATTCCTACTCGCCATGGCCTCCACAAAGTCTGTCGCCAGGCTTCTGGCCTATTCCCGCCCATCGCCTTTCGCTCTCCGTCCTACCCCCATCGGCTCCATCGCAAACTTCTCCTCCTCAGTCGCCCGCGCAGCTACGCCAGCTGGTCCTCCCCAACCGGGCTTCCGCTTGCCTCCTCCGCAGAAATGGGACCAGTCCACTGAGTCTGCCCTCGACAAGGCCACCAAGTACTTCCTCATGGCCGAGCTGATGCGCGGCATGTACGTCGTGCTGGAGCAGTTCTTCAGACCTCCGTAGGTGCCACCCTGCCTTCGCAAGCTTCCCCGCTAGGCCGAACCTCGACGGTTTGGCCACTCAAGCCCGATCATATCATCCCATCATACCACGACTTTGACGTCAATTGAGCTGTTGCTCCTCCCTCTGTGGGAGCTCCCCCTCGTGGACCCGGACCATCCGCTAACGCGAAGAAACCTCGACAGTTACACCATCATGTACCCTTTCGAGAAGGGTCCCATCTCCCCTCGTTTCCGCGGTGAGCACGCCCTGCGTCGCTACCCCACCGGTGAGGAGCGGTGCATTGCCTGCAAGCTCTGTGAGGCCATCTGCCCGGCCCAGGCCATCACCATTGAAGCCGAGGAGCGTGAGGACGGAAGCCGTCGGACGACCCGTTATGATATCGATATGACCAAGTGCATCTACTGTGGCTACTGCCAGGAGAGTTGCCCCGTTGACGCTATCGTTGAGAGTGAGTTTGCCCTTCTCAGTCACTCTTGGGTCTAACCGTTGGGACGCGTGACTGACCGACCTTCACTTGCAGCCTCCAACGCTGAATACGCCACTGAGACCCGTGAGGAGCTGCTGTACAACAAGGAGAAGCTCCTTGCCAATGGTGACAAGTGGGAGCCGGAGATTGCCGCTGCCGCCAGAGCTGATGCTCCTTACCGTTAAGCCGCTTTTGGTGTTAGAAGACGATTTTAAGCCAGCATCTTCCGACATGAGGAGTTGAATCTTGACGAGAGTATGCGCTCCCATTTGTCGGAATGCTCGGGAGGCTCAAGCACTAAGAAGAAAAGGGAATGTTGTTTTCAAATTATTGAGAAAGTGGAAGGGTAGGGTGGTCTCTCCTCACGGCGGGTTGACTCGGCCGCTCTAGCCTTCCACTACCCACCTTGTACATAAACTAACGCTCGCAACCCTACCCCAACCCGATTTCTCACCTGTATTTGTCGGGCTCACTCCCAGAGGGGTGTCCTCTGCAGTTGCCCGGAAATATCCCGGCTCTGGTACTCTCTGGTCTTGTCTGCTATTGTGTGTCTCCGATGTCGAAGGATATTTACCTTATCTGCATGTCTCGATTACATGTGTCTGTTTACCTACACTGCCGTTTCAGGTTCTTTTTTTCCTAGGGATTTTCAAATCGAAGAAGTATTCTTTTTTCCTTTGTTCTAGACAGAAGAAAGAAACCATACAGAGGAGGATCAGTCAGTCATTCCTGAATGGGAAACCAGATTGTATCAAATTTGTATCAACAAATGTGTTTCGAAGAAGTATAGGAAACGCTGCCTATGCACATATGCACATAACTTTGGAGGACAAGAATGAACAAAGAAATGAGTAAATGAATAAAAAAAATCCCCCCAGATTTTAAAATGTTAATGAACTCCCCGAACACCATATCTCCAAATGATGACCCGCACTCAACAACACACAACCCATTCCCTTTTTTAAGATAACTTTTTTGAAAAAAAAAAAAGAAAAGAAAGCACACACATCTCTCTGCTTTGTCTCTCTTTTTAGGTTTTTGATGATGATGATGATGATTCGTCCTTGCTCCTCCCGTCTCCTGTTTGTATTCGAGAAATCGAAGGAGTAGGTAAGGTATCGCGTTGTGGTGGTGGGTAGGGTAGGGTGGAAGGTAGATGGTATTACATACTGAGGAACGAACGACGACGGATCATCACCGGGGAGAATCACCGCTCAGTCAGGGTATGGAGGATAGTAAAGGAGGGAGGGCGAGAGGGAAATGGAAATGGTAAGAAGATGGGAGGGTCGGAGAAGAAAGGGCAAAGGCGAAGCTGAGCTGAGGACTACCTAAGTCCAGTTCACTTATTTCTTCTTCCCACCGCCACCACCAGCCTTGGCCTTGAAGCTACCTTCGAAGCCCGGTCTGGCCTTCTTCTTGCCTCCGCCAGCGGCGGGCTTCTTCTTGCCCTTGTTGCCTCCCTTCTCCTCGCGGCGCTTGCGGAGGTTCTCCTCGCGCTTCTGCTGGCGCATGTCCTTGCCGTGCTTGACGGCGTCGATCCGCTCCCGCCACTCGCGTTCGGACTTCTTCTTGGCCGTCTCCTTGCGCTTGAGAGCCTTCTTCAGCAGCGAGGTATCGTCGCGGACCCGCTCGCCGTGGGCACGCTTCTTCGCGTTCAGCCACATGTCCTTCTCCTCGATGTCGGCCCGCCGCTCATCGTCCATGGAGGCCAGCCGGGCCTTCTTGGCTTCGACAGCCTTGAGGGCGGCGGCTGGGTCGTGGTGAGCACCCTGCCGCTTGGGCTGATCGCGGACGTTCTGGAGAGTGGGATCGGCGTGCTGGCCGTCGCCGAAGACGACCCGACCAAAGGAGTAGTTGGCGTTGCTGGAAGAGCCAACCGAGTCTGCAGGGGAGCGAGGAGAGGCGAGAAGGGAGCCGGATCCGCCGGGAGAGAAGCGGCGGGCCATGGCCTCGTCCTTCAGCCGTTGTTCCTCCTCGCGGGCCTTCTGACGCAGCTCCTTCTTGTGCGCTTTGCGCTGCTCGGCTTTTTGTCGGCGCGCCTCGATGAGCTCTTGGCGGTTGCGGGCGGGCTTGCCATTCAATCCATCGGCGTGACGAGCAGCCCGGAGCTCGTCCAGACGCTTCTGAAGCCGCTGTTTCAACTGTTCGGAAGTGGCCTTGAGGGGCTTGAGGTCGTTGGAGGTGGAGGACTTGGGGGCATCGGTCGAGGGGGCGACGGAGGAGATGGAAGAGCTGCCGGACTGGGGATTGGACGCATCAAAGCCAGAGGAATTGGGAGTCGATGCAGAAGAGGACTCGGGTTCTACGTTGAACTCGAGTGAGAGTCCCTCCTCGGGAACAACGCCCTCGGCAGCGTCGCTCTCATCGCTGTCCTCAGCCTCAACTTCGTTGTCATCATTTTTGCTGGCAGGGGCGGACTCTGATTCTTGCGCAACCTCGGCGGTAGGTGTTTGGTCCTGCTTAGATTTTTGCTCAACCTCCTTCGCCTTCCTGGCAGCATCCTTGGCCTTCTTCTTCTCCTTCTGGTTGGCCTTCTTCTGTGCCTTCTTCTCTTCCTTCAATTTTCTGCGCGCTTCGGCGGCCTCGTTCGACTTGGCCTGGGCATCCGGGTTTGCCGAGTCTTCGGTCTGTTTTTGCTTCTTGGACTTTGCGTCACCACGTTTCAGACCTTCTCTGGGCTGCTCGGAGCCAAGTTCTCCGTCCTCAGACGCGGCGTCTTCTCCAGCTTGCTCTTCGTTGCGCTTGCGCTTACGTGCCTTCTCGTCCATCACATCCTTGGCCGTCTTGACATTATCGGGGTCCAACTTGGCCCGCTTGGCTTCGCGAGCTTGCTCCTTGGTCTGCTTTTTCCGCTGCCATTGGTCCTAATCAAGGGATTGCGGTCAGCCACGTCCTTGAGCAGCGGCTGGATAGTTCTGGGGAGTGGGGGCAAGGGAGAAGAGAGTAGGAGAGGAGACGGAGGACAGGAGGGGTTTTTTTTGCTTTGAGCAGAAAAGGAGAAACCAAGGTGAGAACGTACACTGCCATCTTCACCATAGTAGTTCTTTGCCGGGATTAGCGACAACAGACCATCGAAGGCCTGGGCGTGGTCTCGCAGCCGTTCCTGATGAGAAGAAAAAAAAATGTCAATCTCAGAATCAGGCACACAGCAGTGCAGTGCAGTGCACGGGGCAACACACCTCGATGTCATCCATTTCTGCAAGAGACAAAAAAGAAAAAGAAACCAGCAGGCCTGTCCAAGAACACAAAAGGACTCGAGAAGCAAATACCAGGGCCGGAATTGGAGGTTGATGGGTCTAATGGGCAACGCTCGGGGTCAAAGTAACGAAAGCCGCGATACCATGAAAAAATTGGGTGAGTAGGTTGAAATCTTGGCATTGCTCCTTCTCCGCTCGGCTGTTCACCGCCTTCACCGCCTGCGCACACAAGAGAATTATTCCAGTACGGGGTCGGTCGGCCTTATCCCCGTCAACTGGTAAGTCCGGGATGTCACTGGAAGTATGGTCCACGTGCCCCCCTACTCTATTATATGATCTGGACTAAGATGTGATCTGATCGGCGCTGTTAAACTACACAGCAATAAAATCAATCAATAAATGACGACAAATGCAGAGTGAACCCTCAGGCTGTGATCCAAGGCGGTATCCGTCGTATATTTCAGTTATATCATCTCTGAGAACCTATTACTCCGATGTTACTCGGTGATACATCTCGAATCTACATCACTGGTATATATCCACCCCGCAATGGGCCTACTATCCAACAGGAGCCAATCACCTCGACACTACCAGCCTCTAAAGCTCCAAGAATGCCGAGTCGAATCCCTTATCATCTAAACCAACACAATTCTCACTCTCAATCGAGGTAATGTTATCAAACGGCCAAGGAATAGTCCAAATCAAATCGAACCTAATCGAGCCCTCGAAATATCAGCCACCATCCACACCTGAACGTCACGAGGCGCAACTATTCCTTTTCCATTCCCAGATAGTATACGAGGGAGAGTACTCACCGCTCCTCGGGATAAACAGGTGGGTCATCCGAGCCCAAGGCGCTGACGATATTCGCCATCTTTCCATGCCGCCATGAAATCAGGATATTGCCGGGGCCCCGATAGTGACGAATTTTTCGCGCCACGCACTTCGCGTCATTGCGCTTGCAGGAGGTGTCGATCGGCAGAGACAGGTCGTGGGCGAGGGGGAGGACGGTTTCGTAGGAGCGACGGTGTTGGTCGACTATGTAGTATTGGTGTCAGTGTCAACGCTTTGCGATCAAAAGACAATCCAAAAGAGGAAGATAGGGCAAGGGCTGCTGTCTGGAGGTTCCTTACGAGAGTTGATATGTGGTGCCATTATATATCCGATATCATATGGCGAGTCGGCGCCAAAGACGGAACGGAGACATTCTGCGCGCTTGAAGCCGTCGGCGTTAAGACCGCTGTCGCTGGGATCCGGGGGCTTCTCCCCATGACGGATCAGGTAGACGGTTGGCTTCGTCGGTTGGGATGATGGAATGGAGGCACCCAGGGTCAGAGTGGATGCGGTGAGAAGGTATAGAATATTGCTAAGCTGAGAGGCGATCATCTTGATATATATAGTGTGTGACAGGTGATAGCCGTGATCACAGCTACCGGGTCATTTCTAGTGCTTTTATATCTCGAATCTATGGTGTCTTCTCATCGAGGGAGAGAGTATGTCCGCTTGCGCATCGCGGCGTTCGGGAGAGTCGTCAGGGCCTCGGGATCTATATGTACGTCGGCCGAGTATTCAATCAACCAGGTGAGGAGGGTACGCGTGGAGATTTAAATATGGAGCAAGCAAGCAAGCTGAGGGATGGTCGATCATAAAACACACTATCGATCGACGCAATGCATATGGGGAGGGATGGGGGGAGGGCAGCAGGGCAGCAGGCGACCAGGCTGCTGCATAACGCAACACGGCTGCTGAGCCTATTCTTTGCTGCTATGAGCGAATTTTTCGTGACCAGTAGACTGGAAAAATCATCTGTTACTCGAGATAAAGAGTCCACTGAGATGGACCCTCTCGATCTCGTGCAACATGGAAGCTTTGACGCTGATTGGGACGTCCGGTCGGTCAGGCGACGATCCATGGAGCCCAGCTGAGGGTTTCTCGGGGCAGAATTCATAACCTTAAAAAAGGTCGATCTGCGGTGAGTTTGTCCCTTCCCAGTCGGATGATGTGAATTGGCCTGCTGTTTTGATTCTGCTTTTTTTTTTTTTTTTTCAAGCCATGAGTGAGGACCGTGAGGGCTCTGTCATGGAACTTTGTAGGAAGCTGAGATGTGGATACACCGTAGCAGTTATCTTTAGTCGGGGGGATATGCTTTGGAAGGAAAAGCTTGATGAGCAGGATCTTGCAACACGGCTATCAAGAAGTCATTACCCTTGCATTCTGCCTTGCACTGCTGACTGGTGCTATCTGTGGAGATTGAGAACATCGTTTGTGGTGTGCCGCATGCAAGGCAAGTCCTGAGGCGGCATCATCGAGGGGCTGCAGATCTACTTATACATGCCGTAGGTTTGTATGTACAGGTAGCTTCTCGTGAAGTGCCGTGCACTCTCCCCGCTCTCCACGAACGGACGTACCAGGCAAACTCCTGCTGCTCTGCATGAGCCTGTGAGGGAATAATTAAGCTTTCAAGTTGACTCGGACAGGTAGACACTATGAACAAGCTCGGGCTGACAGGCAGTTCCTTGGGATGGGCTCCCCGCTCCGATAAATAACTTACCGCTTGTGTTGTGTTGGATTGGGTCCAAGTCTTGGGTCCATAGACTACCTACGTTAGTGCTGTAGCCTGGGCAGTTGTTCCTCTCTTTGATCGGGGAGATATCAACAGTTCATCCGGGACCAAGCCACTGTAGGTGGATTGGAGGTACCCCTCCCCCTCAAAAGAAAGGATGGGATGTGACCGTGGAAGGGCCAAATGCGTTGTCGATGTCAGTTTGCACTGCAGTTGCCTCGGATACTGAGCCGACAGCACGGCCCCCAATCCATCCAGGTCACCGAAAAGGGGAGGAGGTGATTGATCAGCAGGCGATATTATTCTAGAAGCACCTTCCACAAGGCTTGTGATCGCTTAGAGTACCTACTGTGTATATCCTCTCTCTTGCATCTTTCAGCTGAGGATCTCCTTTTCACCTGCTCGGCTCTAAGCCCCAATTTCCACGGTCTAAAGAGGTTGAGATCCGAGGGAAACCAGCCACAATGGGCTTTCCAGCATCTGAGTGGTCTACGTGGGACTGTTTCCTCCACTTTTCGCACGTATTCACTGCCCCCCCCCCCCGGTTACGTATATCTCAGCGGAAGATGTCAGACCCAAATTTCCGCTAGTGTATGCAGAAACATGTCTGCCTGTTACGTGCCGTACTGGAGGACGGTGTCTCCGACGGGATGCACACTTGAACCCCTGTTAGTAAAGATAGGACAGCGACATTTCTAATCTTCTACTTTAGGGGGTTCTTGCGGAGGCTCGGCAAGCTCAAAATTGCAAGAGCACTTTCAATTCCATCTACCCGAGGATCCGGAACTGCAATCGACTAAGTTATCCGTACTCGTAGATTGAGGAGCTCATCCCGAGCCCCATGAATCGTAGTCTTGGCATTACAGGCTCGGGCTATCGGCATCACGCCATTACCCGTTGAGGCTGTGCCAAGTACACCTGCGCCACAGTGACTTCGGTATGAAGTAACTTATGCAGGAGTCGATGCCTGAATGTGCACGACGTTACCAGTCTTACCAGCCAAGATGTGTAAGGTGGGTTTTCCGTCAAAATCGGATGGCTGCATATTGAGACCAAGGATGATCGTTGCCCCAGTGGCGCATCAATGTACTGTACTGGTACCAGTGAGTGTATCATTGTGGACGTTAGGTAGCATGGGACTCGGAAAGTCACACACCGGGAGATTGGGGAAGAATCTATAGATGCCCTGGATATTGCGGCACTGTCAGGAGTACCTCACTTAGCATTGGTGATCGGTCTCAGCCCTGCGTCCATTCAACAAACACATGGCTGCAAGAGTGCACAGCCACCCCGCACCTCACCGTGGCGGGGGAGTCATCCGTACGGGTCACCGCTGTTCAGTAAACTCAGAACAATTTTCACATATCAGACATCTCATAGACGCCGCTTACTGAACCCAGCCAGGTAATCATGTCCAGGGCTGGGGCTGGGGGCAAGGATTCGAGGCCAGTACTGTCCCGCATGGTTTTTTTTTAAGACCGCAGTGTGGCTCAGTCATACGGAGAGGTAACTTGTAAGATTGGCATGTTTTGCCTAGTAAATCTCGCAGGGCTTGGCATGAACGGAGAAGAGGGAAACAGTGAATTCATGGTGGGGCTCGTCCCCAGCAATTCACAGAAGGGCCAGGAAGGCCAGAAGGATCCGACTGCGCCTGCTCAGCCCTGTAGTGCCCGTAGTGCCAGATCAGCTTATCAAGTGGCCAAATCTCCCACTATAAAAACCTAAGGTGCCCCTCGTTCCCATCATCCGTCTTTCATCATACTATCCCACTTTCTCTCCTTCCTCCGACTTACAAGTCAGATAACAACAACACTTACATCACACATCCACATCGAATTACCCCTCTTCGTCTCACACACACCGACAACATGTCCGGCTACGATCAGTACAACCAGGGCCAGGGCGGCTACTACGGCCACCAGCAGGGTGGTTACCAGCAGGGTGGCTACCAACAGGGTGGTGGTTATCCTCAGCAGCAGGGCTACGGACAGCAGGGTGGCTACGACCAATACAACCAGCACAGCCAGCACGGTAGCCAGGGTGGCTCTGCCAACGACTACTATGGCTCCAGCGGACAGCAGTCTCAGTATGGTGGTGAGAGCCAGTACGGCCAGCAGCAACAGTACGGCCAGCACGGTCAGCAGCAACAGTATGGTCAGGACCAGCGTGGAGAGTAAGCTCATCCTCATCGACTTCCCATTTATAATCAAAGTACCATGGTGAACTGACATGTTCTTTTCTTTTTTTTTTTCCAGGTACAACCAGCAGGGTGCCCCTGGTGGCGCGCAGGACGGTGAACGTGGTCTCGGTGGTGCCCTCGCCGGTGGTCTGGCGGGAGGCTTTGCCGGTCACAAGGCGGATCACGGGATCCTCGGAACCATCGGTGGTGCCATTATCGGAAGTATCGCTGAAGACGCCATCAAGAAGCACAGACACAAGGAGGAGGAGCAGCAGCAGTACGGCTACCCTCCCCACGGTGGTCCCGGTGGTCCTCCTCCTCCCGGCTCTCACCACGGTGGCGGTGGTAGCATGATGGACCAGTTCGGCAGCTTCTTCAAGAAATAGACGGCTCCTCCTCACCTTGGACCGTTCTTGATCTCATGACCTTGCTGCTTCATTCCATATGACTGAGCCTTTTATTTATTTGTTGCCCTTTTCTTTTTGTTACGGCCGGCCGGGGTATGGGAAATGAATTCGAGTCTTTTCTTCCAACAACCGTTTCTTGCGCTTAAGATTGCTCTGCTTTTCTCTGAATTATCTCCCTGAAGTGTTGATACTAGGGATTGGACTTAAACTTGATACCGATGCTGGGTCTGCCAGCATATTTTATCTATTAGTGGCTATGCTACGAAGAATCATACTGCCTTTGACCCCGCAGTTACAAGGATTTGCTTGAGAAGGAATGTAGTTGTAAGTGTAAGATAATAAGATGTTCTCATGAATGTCATAACTTCCAAGAAACCTAGATGCCGACGCGCAAAAGAGGGGTGTGAGATGGCGGGGTGAGCGTCCCTACGAGACCCGAGTCCCGACATACCCAACCCCGCCTTTAGATTTCATGCATTTCCAGGAGGACAGGTGAGATGAACTACAGCACCCATTGGCCACCCTGGGCTTACTGAGTCATGCGATGATGAGCTGTCCCAGCAAGTAGGAGGGGCTTGCATTTGGCTCGTTGGCATCTGACACACCGGGAATGAATGGGTGGGTGCATTTACGTTGCCATGCTTCGGCGTTCCCAGCGCCTCTCAATCCTGCGTCTCTCAGCACGGCCCGGAACCCTCACCGCACCTCGCCCGTGTCTGGCGAGGATCTCGTGCAGACCCAGCAACGTCTCTACGTAGGGGAAACCGGAATGGGTGATGCTCGCCAACAGCTCGATCAGGGCCTCATCCTCCTCCTCATGGAAGGTCGCCTTCCCCCCGAGTTTGAACTGGTAGATGCCACGCACCCGATGGTCTGCGCCGTCCGTGGGGAGGACCTCGCGATAGAACCGACACCATTCCCCGGTGCTGAGCTCCCCGGCGATGGGGGCCGAGTCCGGGTTCTCGCGCCGCGCCTGCAGGAAGATGTACTTGAGCAGTTCTTCCATGCGGGCCCAGGGGACCTCCTCCAGAGGCAGGTCCCTGGGCCCAAGCAGGTAGAACATCGTCGTGCAGGGCGTCTCCCTCGCGCCTACTTGGTACGTGATCTGGCACTGGCGGTCATACAAGCAGCCGAGCGGGCGTCCGCCTTCGGGGTTGCAGCCCCCTGGGTATAGCGAGATCTCCCCGGGTTGGATCATCCTGTGCGCAGGTTTGGACTGGGGGGATGGTTGATGTTGTATGGGCGGTATATGAAGAGAGCGTGCAGTACACAGGTTGATCGAATTATAAGAAGAATGAATCTATGTTTTCCCGCCTGGGAATGCCAAATTGCAAAGCGTGACATATTTATACCTAGATTGTCCGAGTATTCTTAGAATCACAATGTCTTTATGTGTGAGCTCTTTGACTGCAGCAAGATAAAGGAGAGTGTCCTTTATTGACTAGATTGCTGGAACTGATAGTCCCGGTTCCTGAATATAATCCTATGGTCTTAGCATCGCAAGTGATTGTTTTGCCATCAAGCGTCCTTTGTTCTGATCCCTCCAGTCTGTCACCCGGTTCCTGCTGAAGCCACCAGTCTAGCAGTGTCTATTCCTGTCCGGGACAGTGCTCTTTCCGGGCTGTCAGAGGAAGATAGGCTCTCTTGTTCGACTGGATGTCCATGTAGATCCACTATGCCTGAGAAGGGTTGTATGGGATAGACGTTGATGAAATAGCCCTCCATGACATGGAGGGAAAGAAGTTGTGAGACAAATGCTTCATACTTCATACATCGGATGGATCATGCATTGTCGCCCTGAGGCAACCAAGCTTGTCCGGAAGCGGGTTAGCGCATGGTCCTGGGTGCCTGGGGCAGAACTGTGCGGCCAAGCCCGATCAAAAGTTCGAGCGGAAGATTCCCCTTCAACACTGCGGAAGGGAACAAGACTGCTCTGTATAGTACACCATGATTGTCCGGCATTGTTTGCGGCAAAGTGAGTTCTTGTCTGCTATCTCAGCTCTATTGAACTTTGTATCCTGATTACTGACGCTCTCTCTCTGTCTTGCAGGCCGCCAGCTCGGTGCGCTCAACTGCCCATCGCGCGTCTGGGCCCGATTCTCCTCCACCGAGACGATTGTCGAGACGATTGTCGACACTCCGGCGCAGCAAGCCCCCCGGGTGACTGCGACTCCAGTTGGAATTCCCTCGGAGCCTGGGTCGCCGGCAGCATATGCATTGACTCCTGAAAAGGAGGCCTGGGACAAGGGTCTGCAGCGCAGTCAGTACACCCAAACAACTTGGTGACCCCCCCATGTACACGAGTCCGGACGGCAACACTAACATAAGGTGCTCGTCTTATCTTGAACAGAGGCCGACTTCCGCCAAATGGGAACCACTCTGGAAGGCAAATACAATCCCGACCAGCTTCTCTTCAACCCCCCTAAACCCGCCGACCTCACTCTCGAAATGCTCCTCGCCAATCAGACACACCTCGGACACTCAACCTCCCGCTGGAACCCGCAAAACTCCCCGTACATCCACGGTATTCGCGAGGGCATTCACATCATCTCCCTGGACGTGACCGCCGCGTATCTACGACGGGCGGCCAAGGTCGTCGAGGAGGTCGCCGCCCGCGGCGGATTGATCCTGTTCGCCGGCACCCGGAAGGGCCAGAAGCTGATGGTGGTCCGGGCCGCCGAGCGGGCCCAGGGCTACCACCTCTTTGAGCGATGGATCCCCGGCAGCTTGACCAACGGCAGTGTCATCCTGGGCCACTGCGAGGTGAAGGTGGTGAACATGTACGACGAAGAGCTGCCGACGTTCAAGGAGGTGGCCAACTCCCGGCCCTCGCTCAAGCCGGACTTGGTGGTCTGCCTGAACCCCCTGGAGAACACGGTTCTTCTGCACGAGTGTGGCCTCAACAACGTCCCCACCATCGGCATCATCGACACGGATGCGGACCCCACCCGCGTCACCTACCCGATCCCCTCGAACGATGACAGTCTGCGTGCCGTCGGCCTCATTGCTGGTGTCCTGGGACGAGCCGGAGAGGCCGGTCAGAAGCGGAGGTTAAAACTTGCTAGGAAGGGGCAAATTCTTTATAAGCCCCTTACACAGCACGATCTCCCAATCCGCAAGCCGGGGGCGGCAAATGATCGGAAAGAGGAGTCAGAGAAGCGGAAATGAAGAATCGGCGGCGCTACGGAATTTATTTTTGATCTCGGTTTGCCTGCCCTTGACTGGGATTGTACTGTACAGGACATATAAACCTTTTTTGCGTCTGTTTTTCCTTCCCCATGTTTTTCCTTCTGGTGTTGCGAATATGTATCAACAAATGTCGTCTGAATCATATCTTTAACTTCCATCTGTACTACCGTTTCAATGGATTGTTTTCGTGTGCCATCAAACATAAAATCTAGTTTTAGATGTTGGATGGGTAGATTGACTGGTGGTTAGTTTATCCTTGCATGCCGATTCCACATGTATCAGGCGTGGTTAGCTTCGTGGTATTTTGTGGGCACGTCCAAGTACGGCCAACAAGGTAGATTGAGTTAATTTTATTCCCGTGCAAGCCTCCACTTGCCCTGTGAATTTGAACCAACAGCGGCTGTCTATCTCCTTTTCATGTGGTGACGCTCGTCTCGTTGCGCAGCATATAATCCAGACAAGACTGACCGGTAGTTCGTGGTCGAAGATAGCCAGTCCATCCGCGGCCAGAGAGATTTATACGATGGGTCAGATTTTCCAGCAACATTGAGTGAGGGTTGTCCGGCATGCTCCATACGGTGGCATCCATCTTCCTCCTCGGTCTATCGAGTCCTTGGACCACTACCAACAACTCGGCAAGTCACATAACTACTCCGTACAGTACCGTGCTATTTAATCAAAGTCAATAATCAATAGACAAAGACAACCACCCGAGCAGTACTCGAAGTAACGTTACAAGTCAATGATCAACTCCACCAACACAGAGAAAGTAATCAACTATCCGAGACCCTCAAACCTTCTTCTCCGAGCTCATCTCCCTCCATCTGACCTCTCATATCAATCCAACCTGATCCAGCTGTATCTCCCACCACCTTTCCCATGCAGGGACTGAGCTAGCGGTCGGGACGTGGCCCAACCCTAGACTTTTGTACCGGTAGGCAATGGCCTACTCCGGTAGAGGAGGGAGTTTTCATGCAACTCTCGATCAATAATTCCATCCCGGACCAGGGCCACCTGATTGGCACAGAACCCCGAACGAGGTGCTTTGTGGCGGTGATAGTTTGATGCATGATGCCAGCCTGGAGGTTTTCCCGGAGAGACTGTTAGCATACCGGTATGATGATTGATTCGTATCTGCTTCTTTTGGTCAACTCAATTCCAATTCCACACCCACTGGGAACAAACACGATCGGGATGAGGCTAGAGCAGGGATCGATCTTAACATATTGGTATGATATATCAATGATCCCATGTCTTTTCTTTGCTCCTGTTGATTTTCCCCTTCCACTCGCTTCTTCGGCGGACCATTGCTGCTCTATAAATCCAGCTACTTAGCTACCATCCGTCCTCTCTTCCAGATCCCCTCTCCTCTTTCCAAGACTTTTAGACCCAACCCGACCTTCATAGACAGAAAGAAGAAAGAAAGAAAGGCAAAAGCAAAAATGCACCTCCAAACCCTTCTCCCCATCCTCCTGACCTCCGCCTCCCTCGTCGCTGCATCACCGAATGCTGCTGCCGCTGCCGCTGCCGCTGCTGCGCCGGCCGCAACAACAGCAGCCAGCGCGGGGGACACAGCGCAGTGCGCGAAGAGGTAAGCATCTCCCTTAGCTCTCGCCTCCAAGAACGGGCACACAGACTACCAAGCCCCAGAGAGCTACCTAGACAGCTAACTGACTGACATGAGGGACATAGTATCCTGGACGCCTGCCTGAAACAGCTCCAACCGCAGATGGACGCCTGCGCGCAGAACGACTGGGATTGTCTGTGTACGCAGAGTCAGAACGTGTTGACGTATGCATAACCCCTTCCCATTCCTCCCCTTTCCCTGTTCCCGGCTTTGATCGCCTTTGTATCTTTGATGCTTCTGGTTGATCAGTGTGGGTGTGTGGTGGGTGGGGTCGGGTGCTGGATACCGTACATACATCTATAAGCCCACCTACCACCCACCACCCGCCAAGACCTATACGCCATACCGCAATCCCAAACCAAAAGATTATCCAGCCCTACACTCTCCACTACTTACCCTCCATACAAAGCTAACCCTTTCTCGCTCTCTCTCTCTGCCTAAAAGCTGCTACAACGACTGCCCCTCCGACCCGGGCCGCTACACCGTCACCCAGCAACAGGTGCCCTACTGCAACGCGGCGCAGGCCAACTCGCTGCTATACTCGACCTCCACCAGGGTGACCAAGACCTCGTCGGCGACCAAGACGAGCGCGCCCACCACCACCGCGGCCAAGACGACCGCCGCGTCGGCCACGGCCACGGCGCTCGAGTCTTCCGGGGCGGCGGCCGGTGCTGGATTGGAGCTGGGGTTGGGGGTTGCGGCGGTGGTTTTGGGGGTGTGGGGTTTTTAAAACCGGATGAATTGGGCTGTCGAAGCTATGGGTGTTGATTGTGGGGAGTGTACCTGGGATGTAATACTGCTGTTGTGTTGGTGTACGACCTCAAGGATTGGATGGATCTGTATGTACTACCTATGAAAGAACCTGTGATATTATGTTATGTTATGTCTAATCTGCGCAATGCTCTCTGGTGTTTTTGATGATTAAACAGATGAAGAATGGGTATCGGATTGATGCGGAAATTCAAAATGCAAGTTCATACTTCATGACGCCCCAGTAAGACTTTACTCCCCCATAAAATGAGCGGAACGTCTCCTGTATTTGTCTTCGCCCCGTCCACACGGCTGTCGACAAGGCTCCCGTGGCACAGATTCCCACCAGAGTCCATTGGAAGACCCCCTCGGAGAAGATGGAGAGTGACGAGCGGATGGTTTCGGCGGTGTTCTGTGATTCTCGTGGTCAGCATCCCAGGCCACGGGAAGGAAAGCGGGAAGCAACAAATAACGTAACATACCCATCTCTCAAACGCCTCGAACACCCTCGTCGCCCCCATGTGATGACCCTCGAAATCCACCGCCACCAGCCGAAAGTAACCATCCCCCACGAGTTCGACGGTCGTCTCGAACCCCTCCTTCGGTTCGTACTGGACGCTCTCGAACTCCTCCTCCGGAGCACTGCCATTGCTGGCCCGCTGCAAGACCCAGCCTGCCACATCCGTCGCCCCGTTCCAACTCACATACGCCGTGTGCGCCGTCTCATCTACCTCGACGTCTGGCGGATTGCGCGGTCGCCCTATCCAGTGGGATTTCTGCGCACGGTACGACTTCGTCCACCCAAGCCAGAAGAAGACCCGGGGGCCCCAATGGAAGTCGCAGAGGAGGTCGCCGTCGGTGCTGAACTCGGTGTATGCGGAGGATTTCCCCCAGCCAACGAACACATTTCCGCTTCGCGGGAGAACTTGCAGGCTACCCTGTGAGTGGCTGCTGAAGCGGCCTGGGCTGTCATAAACATGGAGGGTGTCGGCTGTCCAGTCGGCAAAATCCAGGCGGATCATGAGACCCCGGGAATGGTCGCAGGTGTACCCGTTCTCGTAGGCGGCGTTGTCGAGCAGGGTGAGTACATTGTCCGAGTGCCAGCGCGCGTCGTGCTGCCAGGTGAACCCCGTGGCCGAGCCATCGGATGAGATATCCCGGAAAGTGTTGCGCTTCCCACCCAGCACCCACAGGATTTCCCCAGTCGAACTGATGCAGGTGACAGTGTGCATGTAGCGGGACGATATGAGGTAGCTTCCGTCCCTGGGATGCTTGTCGATACTATCGATATGGAAGTAATCGTACGCAACCTGTGGGGAAGGCGAGGAACCCTTGTCGCCGAAGGGGAGGTGTGATTCGTCGATGGCATAGTGATCGCGTGCGCGCCACTCGAAAAGAAGCTCGCCTGTCTCAATATCGATCTCCTGGAACAGGCTGTCGTAGATCCAGCCGTCTTCAAGCCCGCCGACTGCGCTCAGATCCGCCTGGCAGATTTCGTAGATGGTCAGGATCGCGGTGCCTTGGTCGGTAATTTTGAACTCATGCAGGTCGCCTTGATGGCCGTTGGCGGCTGAGACAATGTGGACAACGTCGTAGGAGGCATTGAGCTATTCGAGCGTGAGATGGTTAGTTCAGCTGGCAATCACATATGAGCATCGTGCGGCAAGGCCCACCATGTAGTACTGTCCCATGCCTCGGGTGCCATCATACTCGCCAGCCCAGAAAGTGAGATAATCCTGGCCCTGGTACTGCTGTACCTTCAAGTCCATGACCTCCCCGAATGCGCGCTCCATCCAGACTAAATTCCCCCGGTGGTCGTAGACTAAGGGTCCCGGTTCGGGATAGCTATGACCACGCGGGCTGAGAAAGACATAGCCTTCTTCACAATCGGGATGCCATTGTTTCACATAAACCTCGGGGGACTTCATGCCGACCGACTCATAGCTCAGCGTGGGATGCGGGCCGAACAACCCCAATTCATACCAGAGGCCGTGCCATGAGAAGGCCGTTGCCAGTAAGGGCAGAAAGCCCCAGAAGACCAGCAGTGCGGCCATCTATGGTCGGAGATAGAATGACCTGGGATAGAAGAACAGGAGGAGAATGCATTTCGTGAACAGCAGCGGAGAGAATCATCTTGTAAGGTTGAGGTGAGCCATCCTAATCCAAGTGGACACAGCATGACGCGGTCGATCATGGATTGCAAAGCGACTGACGAGTCAACGTCGGTTTGAACCGAACCGGCCCCATTAGCGGTCGTCGTTCGTTGGCTTGTGTTCCACTGATAGTCCCCAGCAGTTCAGAACCCACGTAAACAAGATTCCCTTAAACCCACTTGGGGCGACGCTAGATTGTTTAGGTCGTGGAGAACCACGCGGAAATTCTCGTTGTCAAAGTTCCAGCTGTCGTCGTACCCATGGTTTGTACAAGAACATCCGTCGGCAGGCTGAGCAGGCTGATAGATAGTTAGTAGTGCGGATAAATCTTTTATCTAAAGGGACAGGGTTTGTAGAAGTGCTGCTATACTGTACTGTACTTTTTTTTCCCCCTTCAGATTGCATCAGCTGCACGGCTTCATGCAGCGTACGCTGTACTGTACCTCTTCGCAAGACGGCAGCCACATTTTCAACTTGGGCGGTTCATGTCATAATCTGATTGTGATGATTGATGGAATCTCATGCCGTGGCTTGGAAGCCGGAGTGATTGTGTAAGAGGCACAGCTGAGGGTTTGAATGGCGAAGTATGGAGTATGGAAGCAGAGCAGGAGGTGCAGATACGAACTTGGAAGGCAGATAGATGCATACATCCTAAACTTGAATCATTGCTAACGTTGTTGCTCCTTTCCTCCTCTCCTTCTGGTACTTCTCCTCACACCAACCTTTTGCTCCCTCTCCACCTTCTCCACCTCCTCCTCTTCAATTTTCCCACGCTTCCTCTTCCCCCGGATGTCTTGAAGATCAATTCCCTCCTTCTCCCCCTTCTCCTCCTCCTTCTCCTCCACCACCACCCCCTCCATCCCATCCTCACCCCCAATTCCAAACCTCACCACAAACGCCACCTTCTCAATCTCCAGACACCCAACTCCCACCCCCAACCTCCCCCTCAACCTCCGCACCGCATCCCACAACTCACGATACTCCCCAACATTATACTTAACATTCAACTCCCCGCTCTTCCCAGGCTTAAACGCCTTCCTCACCCTTTCCGGATCGCCCCCAGGGAAAACCCCCAAACACAACCACAGAAACACATCATCACTATAAAACGGCACCCCAATACCCTCACCCCCACCCTCACTCTCACCATCATCATCCGACGACAAAACCGACAACACCAAACTCCCCGTCGCAGGCCCAACCCCCCTCAACGGGCCCGTCACCTTCTCCAACGCCGTCCCCGGGAACATCTCCCGCAGTTCTGCAGTGCGCAGCAATCGAGATGCCTCCGCCGTAGCCTCCCGCACCAGACTTTCGGGATTCGAGCGGATCATCCCCAGTAATGCGGGGCGGAATTTTCCGTGTTTCCTTTGGGACCATTCTCTTAGTTATGCTATGGAGTATAGCTGATGGTGGGGGGTAGTTGATATGTTATGCTCGGATAGCCCGATCATATAAAGTAGAGAAGTAAGGAAAACGTGATGGATCGAGCAAGGCATTAGGTAGTAAGAGGGGGGGGGGACGTACATCTTCCACTCGACCAAACGCACCATTTCCTCCTTCTCGAGATACGCACTCCCTTCCCCATCACCCCCGGTAGTGGTCGAGGCGCGTTGACGGACTGCATCTGGGAGGGTCGTGTAGCGGAACTCGTCGAGGGCGAGGTAGGTTTTCACGGCTGCCGGCGCATCGTCGGGGTCCTCTGTTACGGTGAGGGTCGAAGTATGATCCTTGGATGCGGATTTGCTTTTGGGTCTGCTGCTGCTGCTTCTGCTGCTGGCGGCGGATTTCTTCTCGGTGGTGGTGGTGATGGTGGTGGCTTTGCGCCGCGTGGTGGATTCCACGGTGGATGGGTATCTCGCTAGAAGGGATTGCAAGGTTTCCTTCGTGATGTGGTCGGGGTCATAGGTTTTATGGGTGGCCATTGTGATGGTGATTGTGATTCGGAATAAGTTGGCACAATAGAAGTCTACAATCCTACTCAAGTTGTTTGAAGCTTCACGGTGGTGGTACGGCTAGCACCAATACAGACGTGGAGATTATGCTTAGGTAACGATCTTCTCTTTGCTGCGTCTCACATACATCTATTACTTCACTTCCAATCCAAGTAACCAAATGAGCTACAGAGGAGAATTTCCGTTGAGTATTGCATATTGATGGCGTCGTTGTCTAATCATAAGCTGTAAGAGTCCGTCTCCCATCAACATCTCACTGCACTTCTGCACAAAATTGTCCAAAATCCATCCCGTAATTTCTTCATCCACACAATTTATCCACTGAACCGAAGTCTGATACATGAAAGGTTAAGAGGAGAAATATAACAGCAGAATTACAAAAGGCAGAGGGTCTAGCCCCGAAATGAAGCGAAGTTCTATCGTGTATCATCCGGACTCTCCTTTGGGTCACCCTTGGCAGGTTTCGAGTCGGGGTTAACAAAGCTCACCCGCTTCTCTTCCTTGCCGCGTGAAGGAACCACTGATGGCGCCATAAGTCGGTCTTTCTTTTTGATACTGCCACGTTGCAGCGACTTCGATAATGGTGGTGCCCGGGGTGTCCCCGTGCTTGCCATCCCTATATCTGGCTTCGCCGGAGTCGCAGCAGCCGATCGCGCGCTATTCTCGTCGCCATCTTCGACATCAATATGGCCCAGGTCTTCATCATGATCGCCTGCTTCAGACGAACTAGGCCCCGGATCCGAATCCGACACATCCCCGTAATCATCGTCATCACTCACGAGACTCGGGGCTTGATTTGACTCGGCTGTGTTCGGACTGAGATTTGAGGCTTGTTCTGTCCCTTCTAGTTCTCGCAGAGTGGAGCTCTGCGAGCCCTGGGGAAGACAAGACATGGAAGGATACGGCGACTGGTAATCAGTAGGCCGGGTGGGTGTTGAGGTTTGCAGGGGTGGAGGCGTGTGATTCAGGGAATCCAGTCCCTTTCGGCTACCGGGGCGCCGGCTTGTCGCCTGCGAGGCTGTCGTGCGCATCGGTTGCCTGCCCGCACGGGCTCCCAGCGGTGTCTGATCCTGACTCATCTCCGCCGAAGGTTGCACGGACCCGGCGTCTGACTCGCCATCGTCATCATCGGAATAGTCATTCAAGTCCACCACAGTCTTGGCATCTCCGACCAGTTGTTCTAGGTCAACCGCAACGCCCCGAAGCTTCATCAGATTCGACAAATGAGGAGTCGCAGGGGAAGACATGAATGGACCGTTGCCTTCCGTAGCGGGCATTGTCTTTTGATCAGCGCTAGATGCTCGAGGCGTCTCCACTCCGGAGGGAGTCTGTCGAACAGGGCTCAATCGTCTCCGAGGAGTCACAGTGGCGTCGGATACAGGTGTAGGCGTCTTGGGAAGGGGCTCAATGACATGCGCCGACCGAATCAACGGATGAATGAAACCAGCTGTGGCCGGGCTGGAAGTTTCGATTTTGCCGCCTATTACTGCGCCAGCCTCGTCCACTTCCACAGGTTCGCCCGACTCAACTGCCGCCGCTTCATGGCTTGCGTAGTTTCGGCTGTGCGCGATACGGCAATGATTGATGAATCCCTGCGTGCTAGAGAAATTGTCCCGGCGACAATCCAGACACACCAGCTTGACGAGTAGATTATCCGATTTTCGTCGGATGAGCATTGGCCCAGTCTTGTCCTTTGGTTGCGGATAGCCGTTAGGTAGAGACTGCAGTCTCCCACCCGTGCCTCGTTGCGGTCGCGTCTTACTAGCAACGTACCCCAGATCCCCACAGCTTCCACGAGTCGAGCGTCCTTCAGTCCATGGACTAGCATGGCCGCCAGTCATAGGCGTAGCAGGTTCAGGCTCACCGCCATCAAAACGAGGATCTGGAATTAGCCATCTTGCAAGATGGCGAGTGTACGGGCCGTCAGTGACACCCCAGGGTGCTGGAGACAATGGCGCAGGCCCATTTTCAGGAGCCCACACTGCCATGCCCGTTCCGCTGCTGACCGCTGGCGAATAACCCGCCACATTCGAACCCGGGTAAGGGATCTCTGCGCATCGGCGCAGTTGCTCCAACGCGACCTGACACTTTGCGATTTCCTGGTCGATCAACCGAAGTTCGTTGTGCTTTAACAACACCTCCAAGCTCAGTTGGGCTTCAAGCGTTTCACGCAGCGTGTCCACATCCACCTTCTGTGAGCCGGTGTTCTTGGTCACCGCAGGTGGTTCAGATGCGCCCTGACTTGGGGGAGGGGGCGGCGACGACTGCGACGTCTCGGGCGGCGGATTTATCGGAAGACTGTTGGGCGCTTCGAATGACACAGTATCCGTGTTGGTGGCGGCTGACGAGATATCCTGCTTGATGGCGATAGAGCCGCACGGTGCGTTCTCTGCGCGCAGCTTGGTCGCGACCGGAGCATCCTGATCAGGCGTCATATCCGTGGAATCTGAGCGCTTGCGCTTCAACTGAGGCAGAGGGATGGCGCTGACGCCAGGCGCAGGGCATGGCGGAGTCGCAAGCATTTTCAGCTCCTCCGCCATCACCTTGTTTCCCCCAATTGCAGAGGACCAGGGTAGCAGCCGAAACATGCCATGCGAGTTGTGGTCGCAAGTCCTTGTGGTTTGCGACTTGCGTTGCGACAAATGCGCCAGGGTTTGTTAGACGAGAGAAGAGTGCGCACGAACGAATCAAGGATTGATTATATGCTCCGCTGAAAGACCATACACCAGTGTATGCGAAATGCGACCGATCTAAATGTGGAGAGGAGAGAAGAAAGTGAAGTAGAGCGAAGCGCTCAACGAGGGAATGCGTGTCGCTGCCGATCGGTCGGACAGGTCGTTTGCGACCGGATGAAACCCAGCAAGGGGGGGGGGGGAAGGAAACACGGGGCAAGAGTCAGAGGGAGGGAGAAGGTTACCCCAACGAAAAAGAGACAGATGCCGGAAGCTCGGAAGGGTAGGTAGTAAGAATGCACCACGCGGTGATGGGAGGGAGGAAATTGTTCAAATTGATTTGTTGATAGCGTAATCGACCCAGACAAGGAGGATATTCCAATAGCAGTTGCAGTAGGTTAGAGTAGTTGGGTGGGTGGGTGGGAAGGTAGTTAGATAGTAGTAGTAGTAGTAGTAGTAGTAGTAGTAGTAGTAGTAGTAGTAGTAGTAGTAGTAGTAGTAGTGGCAGTAGTAAGGTAGGTATAGTAGTTGCAGAAGTGGTCGGTGTGATAAGGGTAAGTAGGTAGAATAGAAGAAGAGTGTCAGGTAAGGTAGGGCGCAAGAGATGGTAGGTTAGTTAGTGGTGATAGGGAATGGGTGGGAATAAAGCCGAAGAACGATAACGGGGAATGATAATGACACGGATAATAATGATCATATAATAATAAGAATACGGAGTTGGGAAGCGTATCCGTACTTTGTTGTTTCCTCCTCTTCTTTTTTTTCCCAGTTGAGGTCACATGTAAGACGGGAAGGCAACAGGCAGGCTGCGACAGAAAAGGGAACCTGGAAGCAGGCGCGCGGCGATTGACGCTCGGGAGGCAAATTCCAGGGACACTCGGGCAGTGGGCAGTGGGCAGTGGGCAGTGGCGTAATCTATTAATAATGGGGAGTGGAGGGATACAAGCAGCAAGGTTGATGCGTCCAGTGGGTTGGGTCACTTCTTTTTGGCTTGTTGCCTGGATAGTAGAAGAAAAGTTGAGGGCGCAGCCTTGGGAAGAGAAAGAGAGAGGAAGAAGATGTTGACGGGGAGGGATAAGGGAGTAGGAGAGGATGAAAGTGAGAGAAGATAGGAAAAGAGCTGGACAAGGAGAGGATTGTTTGAATTTGAAAAAAAAATCCAGTCCAGAATAGCTCCCTCAACAGCACGATTCAGGATTCACCACCACCTTGAAAGGATGCAGAGCAATAAGAATAATGGTCTGTAAACAGGAACCTAAAACGGGAGGGAGGAATCAGAGTCCAATGAATGTGGACCAGGCGAAGATTGTCTTCCGACCAGGGACCAAACCGGTTTAAGCAACGTGAAAGGTTATTTGGCAATGATGAAGAAAGCTGGTTGAGGATGGATAATAATGGTGTGGAGAGAGAGAGAGAGCAGTCGAGGGAATAACAAAGAAGCTGGGAGAAGAGGGCGGAAATCGAGGGATTCACAGAGGTGTTCAAGGGAGGCGATGATATAAACAACGACCAAAAAAATAACCAACAAGAACAGGAACACAAACGACTAGAAGAGTAAGAAAAAGAGGAGAGAAGGAGGAGGGGGAAGGGGAGAAGAGAGCGAATGTGTTGTTGTTTTGTTAGTGATTCAAGTTAGTTAGTGTTAGGTTAGTTACTATTGATTGATGATTGACTTATTTTAGAGTGAGTACTGGCACTGGTAGAGAAAGAAGGGAAGAAGAGGGGAGAGAAAAGACTAAAGAAGAGAGGGAAATGGGGTTCTTCTTTCATCATCGTCACTAACTACTCATACTCACTCGGTCCACTACTTTTACTGAGAGTCTCAGAGTCTGAGAGAGGAGGGAGGGGGTTTTACCGCCTTAATTCACTCCGGGGTGGGGTGTCCACTTTTCTACTCTGCGCACTCCGTCCACTACTGAATTTACTGATACATCCTCTGATACTGACTCTGTTGGTACTCCGTACCCCGTACCATTGCTCAACTCGCCCCATCAACCTATGAGATCGTTAGCAGCCTACAGCCCAGCTGCAAGTCCCCACGATTTCGACTTATTGTTCCATGCGAGAAGCTGCTTGTGTTGATGAATATTGTGGTGAGTCTGCCATACAGGTCGAATCATCCATCATCATCCATGACTGCCTGAACTTCCAAACCAGACGAGTGGAGCCTGAATCGAAGAATCCTGGGCCTGGACTGGTCCATGGATGGCCGGGGTACCGCCTGCGCTAAATTGTCCACTATTCCTGAAACAGTTGAAGTGATGCTGCTCTCTCTGTTCCATGCTGTTGCTGCTGTTGCTGTTGCTGTTGCTGTTGCTTTTGCTTTGCTTTGCTGCTGCTGCGGCTTGCTGCTAGCCTGCTACCTACCGCAAGACCTACCACAAAGTACGAGTACAACCACTGTATCGTATAGTAACCTCAGATACCCGGTTCTTGAAGCATACCGGTACGTCTGTCTCTATCTCTCTCTCTCATACTTCTCTTTTCACACCCCAGACCAATGCAAAGGAAGACTCGCTTACCGCGATGTCAACAGTGCAGCGCATGCACCCCTCATCAACAGGCCCATCAGTGAGCCATATTTGCTTGTTCCATGGATTCGGATCTCATCTATTCTGAATTAGCTTTGTCACACATGGTTATTGTCTTTCCTCTCGCCGTCAAGTCTCCTGCCCGTCTGCACCCGCCCCCCCTCCTTCCCCCTCGTATGATAGATCGACCTGATCGTCGCGTTTGCCCGCCGTGCGGTGTCGTTACATCATCCACTCTCGTCGTCACCCGCGCCGTCCTTTGCTCCGTGCTCCACTTTAGCCCAATATAGTTCGCAATTGAGTTCACTATGATCGCGTCGGCATAACCTAGTGCTTGGCTGCCCATGTGTTGGGGCCGCTATCACTGGAGGGTTGCTGCACTTCCGAATCCTCCGCGAATGGTGGACATTCTAGTGTGCTCTGTGATGTGTTCTAGAATAACGTTCAATGGTCGGAATCCGTGGTGTGACAACTTTTGTTGTAGCGTCCCTTTTTTCTGAGACCCAAATCGTCGGCCATACATACTGCACCTCAAAATTAACTTATCTCTCTCCCTGTCCCGGGCCCAGTAACTCGAGTGCCATTTGAGAGGGCACTTATATTGTCCAAGGGAGTCTCCTGAGCTGCAATCGTCGTGTGGCAATGGAGAGGAGAGCTACTCAAGGAGTTGAAGCGACAAACTCTGTAGGCTAGCAACCGTCACAGGAAGCTAATAAATATAGGAGCATGCCATGACTCGCGCAGTGTGTGACATATGCGATAGACGGGCAGTGGAGCTCTCCTTCATCTTTTCACAACCAAGTCGCTGTAAGAACAGCTCCCCTACCACCGTTCAGGGACACACAAACAAGCCTGACACCAAAATACTAGCCATGCACGTATGACTGCCATGCTCTGTGCAATGATCAGTTGCGCGACGACATAAGTATAGCTACTCTTAACTTAGCTGCTTCCATACACGTAGTTCTCTCTCTCTTAAGTTCTCTCTCTTCCCCGCACCCCGGCCAATGCCTACGGCCAGCATTAGCTAGACAGCCCAGCAAACCACAATCCACTATCACTAGGGCATCTTGCATTTTTACTTTTGAGATTCGTCTTGCAGCCTGCGCATCGGAAAGAACATCTCAATCATCCCTTCCAATGATACTATCACATCATTGCCCAATCCCGCCAATCTCGCACTGATTCCTGATTCTTCCATGAGGGTATCCACGACTCTAGGCGAAGATGGATCCATAAAGGGAGATACTAAGTGATAATCGACTGTCTAATCTGTTTTTATTGCATATTCTATGCTATGTGCCACACGGATGAATGATCCCCTCATCCTATACTTCAGCGACTAGAACGCATCTCTTATTTATGCACATTATCGTTGACATTACCTCCACCCTTCTGGCCAAGATAGAGATAGTGCTATCATGGATCTGTCCAAGCTACTAGGTATCCTGGGAAGGGCTCGTGTGCCAATTAACGTAAAGCAAGGCCAATCACCGTTCAGACAGCTCTAAGCTCCCACCGCACTGGCCAGGCGACGTACATCACAACACGAACCTTGCATGCATCGGACGGCCTTGAGGGCACGGTCTTACTTGATGATACACCATGGTATTGGCCCATATCCATACGATGACCTCCAACCGCCCTGACACGAATGTGCAGGTTGCTGTGGGAAGCTATAGTAGGTTATTACAATGCAGTAGATTGATTGAAATAGGGGTTGGTGGCCATTGATGACTGTGGTGAAAGCCTAAGCACCGAGTAAAGAGTATGACTATGACTGTAGAAGCCGCGAGAGCGAGCTTGAAACTGTGTAATATTTGGTATAAGGCACGATCAAAAGTGAAGCGGAACTAATCACAAATTGAGAACATAAGAACAACCACCTCCAGCTTTTATCCCACATTCCCGCCCAATCGCGCCTGAGTGATGCAAGTTGCATGGTCTCGTCAATTGGATCCATGTTAGAGCCCAACATGTACGGCATATGACCAAAGCGTAGGTAGAAATGCTGCCCGAAACAAGCTTTAAGATCAATGATAATCCAGGGCGCGCCAACAAAGTCACCTAACCACGACTCAATTTCATCCCGGAGTCATACAGAGACAAAACATAAAGCAGCATGTATCAATTGGGAAAGCAACACTGTCAACGCCATAGACAAAATCAGTGACCAGCACCGACATCGAACGAAACGAAAATAGATCTACCTTCTACTTAAGTCATTCACATAGTTTGTTTTTCTTTCCGTCATCCAAGGACCCCATTCAGGTTTGCACTCTGGAACAGTGCCGTCTCATCTCGTCAATGCTCCCCAGGTCATAACAAATCCAACCAACCTCTCGTCACAGAGTCCTCTTCTTATTCCGTCATGCGCAGAATGAAGTTCACAACCACAGCGGCCAGAAGCGCCAGCGCCAGCACGGTCGGTCCGAACCGATCGTCGATGCCACTCTGGCCGCGTTTACGTATACTCTGCGCCCGCCAGTGGAAGGTCACCAGGGCATAGATCATGGCAGCCATGGCGATGACGGTGAACAGGCCTGCGGAGATGCGGCCGATGCGGTCACCGAAGTTCAAGAGACCGACGGCTAAACCGCCGAGGATGACGGTGAAGTTGAGCCAGGAGAGGAAGGTACGCTCGTTGGCGAAGAACACCTTAGGCTCGACACGAGTGGGCAGGGCAATGCGCTTGCCTTTGGAGGTTTCGTTAGCCACTGGACAGTGAAGCTAAATAGCATTGGTGGCTGCTGGAATCAAAAGAAAATGTTTCACTGACCAGGAGCGGTTTGAAGGAGGGGCTGACTCGACATCGTGTGGAATGGCAGGGATTTGGGTGTGGTAGGACTTGAGTAGGTGTTGTTGGTAGTCTGAGCCCGCAAGGGAGGATGGCTATGGGAGCTATGCTGAGGTTGAGCAAAGGGTGAAAGATGAGAAAGAGGAGAGGAGAGGAAAGAGGGAAAGAAAAAAAAAGAAAAAAGAAGCAGAGCCGAGCTTCAATTGAGGTTTCTAGTCTGGCGCACGAGGAGGCCAAACGAAGGGGCTAGGCCAAGATAGCACTGGCTAGTTCTTTACTAGATGGATTGGAGCGAGGAAGAAGACGACGACGGCATTGATGTAATATGAGACCGGTATTAAGAGGACGGGCGGTGATTCGAACCCGGGACGAGGTCCCCGCGCCTTTGACGGCCGACACCTTCCCCGTTGCGGCCGTAGCGGTGGCGCATCCTTCTGTTCTGCCCATGCCCACCGCCAGATAGCGCGCACGTGCTCCAACTGTTTGCTGTGATTGATAGCCTCAGGTCTCCATTGGCCACTTCTATTGTTTCGGATCATCAATGCCCCGGTAACTGTGGCGGTGGTACCGGGACTATTCCATAATGGGTAAGCAGATCTTTCTCTTGTCTCTTTACGGCCTAGCGGACTGTCAGACACAGCCAACCAGCAGTCCGCAAAGCCACACTTATGATGCCGCCTCAACTAAGTTGCATGTTTCCAAACATCCAAACGACCCTCCTGATAACAACAGCGTGGAAGGATCTCTCTCATTCTCTTGCTTCACTCTTTCATTTTCTAGATCCCTTCGTGTGCTCCTGCATGCAATAGTTGGAAGTTCGCATTTGGTTAGTCGGAGCCAGCCCTATTTCCCCTCCAGTTTGTCAGAGAGGCAGAGAGTCTGACGTTCTCCCCCCCCGTCTTTCGGAGCCACATTCCTGGCTTCCCTGTCCCTCACTTACCCACCCCACAAGCACCTCTCCAGCGTCCCGTGGTCGTGCCCACCGTCTCGACCCAGACAAGACACCGCGGAGCTTCTAGCTTTCCCCTCTTCTGAACTACGCTAATCAAGACATCGAAACTTACCTTCAGTAAACGGTTCAATCAACTTGCTTAATCACAATGGCCGTCGAACCCGTTCCCACGTCTTCTGTACGTCTCCAACTTCCCCTTATGCATTCAATATCTTAGAGGGCGGCTTGTCATCATCTGCTCACGAGACCGGCAAACGAATCCACTGCTAACAATTCACTTCTAGCCCGTGGCCACTTCCGAACTGACCAAGATAGCCACCGAGGTATGCATCCCGGATAGCATCAGCTGGAATTAGTGAAACCGGCCCCGCGAAAATACCACTACGATTGACCTTCATCACACTGTCGCCGAATTCTGAATTATCTCCTTTCCCTACGTCTTGCATCCGAGCGCACAGAAGCGACGACACACTAACCAGCAGACCCTCCACAGGCCTGCGATTTCGCCCTCAAGGATGTAACAGAATATGATCACTCCCGGGTCGCAGACTGGAACTCGCACATTATTGTATGTCCGCTTTTCTTCTCGGTCCCTAAATTCACCGCGCGAAACGCGCAACCAGCCAAAACCCAAGACTAACCATGTTGCTACCTGGCCCGCCCCAGAACACTATCCTCAAAGCCCTGATCAGCGCCACGGCTCCCTCCACCGCCTCGTCTTCTCCCCCTTACCGCTTCGTCGTGAACAGCACCATTGTCCAACAGGGCCTGATCGACAAGTCCGCCGCTGCGGACGGTACCACCGCCAATGCCGGCAAGCGCGGAATGCACTCCGCTTCCGGCGCCTTCTGGGACGTCAACCGGGACGGGATGTGGACATTCAAATACCCTGGTGCCGAGGAGAGGGGCCTGGACGTTGTTGTCAGTGTGACGTGGTTTGCACTGGGTTGAATCGCCAGTCTTGCAATATAGGAGTGGAGGAGGAGGACTTGCACGAGTTGATATATTGTGACATTTTGAAGGTCATATTGGTTATCTACCAGCGAGAGCTATCGCGCGTTGATTGGTTATATCAATTATAGCGGAATTGGCACTGTGTTCTGGTTTACCTTCTTCTTGGAATTGCGAGGTTAATTTTTTTTTTTTGGGAAGCCGTGATTCTTGTTGTGCTGAGAGACTGGAGAGTGATACCATGGTCTTGTTGTAATAATTGAATTTTGAGGATATATTCCTACAGATGTAGCAGATTTCTCTCCAAGTATCGAATAAACTCGCATGTGGTATTTGAATCGAAAGGTCTTGCTCTCAACATCCCAAAATTAGAGATAAGCGCACATAGCTCCTGGAAACTCCCAAATGATAGAAGGCAAAACAGACGCCCATCCACAATACAGTCAAATCAAGCCCAAGTCGAGTCAAATCAGTGAAATCAATACCTAGCGCCATGCTAACCCACAAAGCCCCCTGGAAAGATGCGAACGACAGCACGAAGCGGACGGATAGCGAAGATCGGTCGTTGTAACGCGGTTTCTCCCATTCCTCGAATTCGGAAAGCAGATCTACCGGGGTTCGGAGTAATCATTCAATGCCACGCATACCGCCCCGCGATGATGACCACTATATTGTCGAATGATTTGTCCCGATGCCAGCTCCCACAGACGCGCATAGTGGTCACTAGATACGGTGACGAGGTACGCAGAGTCGGCGGAGAAGGCACAGTCCCAGACCCAACGTTGGTGGTTCGCAAGCGTAGTTTCGAGGAAGAGAGTGCCCGTGGCGGGGTCCATAGGAGGACCGTCTGGCTGGACGGGGAAAGTTTGCTGGGGCTCGTTGTTGACAATTGGCGGTGTACCGTCAAAAAGACTGAGAGGGTTGATTTCAATCTCTGATTTATTGCTGTTGGGGGACAAAGGGTCTTGGCTGTCGGGTGTCGATGTCGGAGATGATGATGATTCGGGTGCCGCAAGCGCCTGGGCTTTGGCTTTGGCGGCGGCCATCTTCGCGGGAGGGTAATCGAGGTCAAGATTCCATACTTTGGCGGTGTGATCTGCTGAGCATGTTGCTAGGTGTTTGACGTCCGGGGAGAGGAGGACGCGGGTAAGGTAGTCTTTGTGTGCTTGGAAGGTGCAAATGGGGACAATGCGGGTGAGCTCGGCATCTTGAATCATGCGCCAGATGTAGACGTTGCCCTGGATTCATAGTGATGAGTCTGCTGCCAATCTGAATCCGTATGTGTACGGGGGCTGAATGGGTACCTTCTTGTTTCCTGCGCAAAGGAGGGACCCGTCGCTAGCAACGCTCACACTATGCACGGCGACGTCGTCTTCGGGGATCAGCTGGTGGGTGCAGACACTCTCTCCCAGATCCCAGACACGAACGATACCGGCGCGATCTCCACTGATGAGTTCGCCTTGGTTGGGATGGATGACCACGTCGTTCACTGGGGCTTTGTGGGCGTAGTTGCGCTGCAAACTGCCGGTGCGCGTGTCCCACACTTTGACTGTGCCATCCTCGGAACTGGTGACCATCCACTTTCCCTCGCAATGAAACGCGACACCCGTGATGTTATTCGTGTGGCCATCGAAGGTCATGACCGGATTGGGATTGGTAGACTTGATGTCATACAGTTTGACATTGTTGTGTCCAGCGGCGGCCAGGAACCGCTTGTCTGGCGTGATGCAGAGACGGTTCACTTGTGAATCTGGATGCTGAATTGTGCGCGAACAGATTCCGGACAGTGCCTCCCAGAACCTGAAAGTGGTTAGCGACAGCGCTTACTTCAGATGCAGTGACCGTCATGTCCATACCGAATAGTGTGGTCGTAACCCGCTGATTGTCGCAAATTTGTGGATTATTGGTTAGTTGATTGTATGGAAGAAAGCATGTCTATCGAAAGATTGCAAGTCTTATCGCTTACCGGTGCAAAGAATGACGCTCATTTTCAAGACGCGCAAAGGGAGGAACAAAACTGAACGGTGGTGGAAAGAGTATGGAGGGACAAGGACTCGGGAGCTGGTGAACATGGAAGGTCAGTCAGCCATCCGAAGCCGCTCGGCTTCCTGCCGGATCTATGTTAAGGCTGCATCAAGGTCAGGACGGGCACGTGGGCGGTCAACTGAGCGGTGGTAAAGGCGGTAAGACAGGCAAGGGATCAAAAAAAGCGGCGTTGATCTTCTCCATTTCATCTATCCAAACGTCGACAGCTGCAACCCACGCAGTTTGTTTGCTTCAAAAGTGACTTAGGCGCCTGTCTGATATTTGGCAGGCTACGTGCCTAGTGTCAGTCTCTGGCTCAGCCTGATCAACAAGATCTGAACACTTCTCGTCGAGACTCCGAGTTTTCGCCCGGACTACTATGCGTCTTACGATCCCGTCAATGTTCGTATAGTGACTCGGCGCCTAAAGGAGGTACGGATTGCAGTCTTTATCTTTGTGACCAGACGCTTGAAAGGGACAAGTTTCTCATTTTCATTCTCAATAGCCACTGCGCGATCGATGGCGGGCATTCTTGGACTTTGAGTCCCGAGATCACCAGCACTTCCACGCTACCCTACCACCACAACAGCATCTCACGGCTGTCTTCTAGGCGCGCAGAACCTGGCCATCAGAGTTCTCGCTGCCTAGCTTTCCCCCTTATCAACGTTATTGAGAGCTCTCTTGAGCTGAGTGGAAGCATGGCTGAAGGTATTTCTACCTCGCTCCAGACCTGCCCTGCGGATTCTCAGAGGCTTCCTGCCCTCGAGGTTCTTCCGTCTCCCCCATGTATTTCTCATCTGCATGTGAATGATCCGGGGCTTACACCTTCCCCTGGGTCCCAACTGCAGCGCTTCCCCGATGCCGCCCGAAATGGAGAACACGGCCAGTCCGTTGAAGAAGCAAAATCCACCTCGGTCGACCAGCACATTGCGCCCACACCCACGGACCGACCCAAGAATACCACAACGGACTTGAGAGACGAAGGGACTGAACACGCAATAAGCGAGCAAAGTACATCGCGCCTGTCTGAAGACTCATCGGCAACGACTGCGCCCCAGCTGGACCTTCATGACTCGCCTACTGCGCCATCCACGGAGACAGCGGAGGACTTGTACGATCCTTTGTTCGACTCTGAGCTGATGTTTCATGAGCTTGACGCCGCGTTCGATTCACGCAAGCGAGCTGGCGCGGAAGCATTTGAGGAACCAGATCTCTGGCAGCAGGCCTCGAAAAGGCAGGCTCTTGAATCAATCCGGGATGAAATTACCATAACGCCAGACAAAACACCGTCACTGTCTTCTCTCGACTCGGCCTTGCAGCCTGATCGAACCGGAACTGGTCCTCACACGCCATCGGATCCTGACCAGCAGTCAACGCCTGCGGCCTTGTTCGAAGCTTTTGGTTCATTGTTTGAGGATTCACCCTTTGATGTTCCCATGGAGCTTTCCTATGATGGACTGCCTGACTTTGACTTTCATGAGCTAAGCCAGGAGCTGGCCAGAGTCAAGGCACCTCCTAATGTCAACATCGCCCCTGAGGATACGCTTTCAATCAGCGAGATCACAAAAGATCGGTTCTCTATCGACGACCAAGATCTGATTGACTGCACAAGCCGGGAGATTCTACAGCGGGTGCACGAAGAGCCACCTTACGTATCACCATATCCAACTTACGCCGGGCCTCTGGGCTACCTGCCGTCTGCTCCCAACATTCATGTCCAATATATTGAGGTCGCAGAGGATAAGGCCAACTTTCGCTTGACCTCATTGAGAAACCGGGTGCAGCAGCTTTCAGTGGAGCGACACAAGCTGAGGACTAAACTGGATCATATAACGGAAATGAGCACGATCGACAGGCGAACGGGAAAGACGCACTACGAATTGCTCCGCGAACAGAATGCTATGCTGCGACGGGTTTGCACTCAGCATCAGAACAGGGTGGAACGATACAAAAAAGAGGCGGATGAATGGAAGAGCAAGCTTCATGACCTTGGCACTGTCTATAACAATCTGCTATATGAGATCCAGGTACAGAAGCAGACGCCGGCGGTCGCGGGGATTCCTAATGGGTACAAACCTCCCCATAAGATCCAGCCTGCACCGAATCAGCAAGCCATTGCCCCAATACCCGGCGGTGTTACTGTGATTCCAGCTCGTTCTGCAAATCTCGACCCCGCAGCATCTCTCCATCGCCCCATCGCTCCCAGCCCGCCCAAACGCGAACCGGTGACGATCGACCTGACTGCTGACGATCCACCGGACACGGCCAGCCCAACCCTAGCGGAGAAGCAGCGTCAAGCAGAGATGCTCCAATCCCTTCGCAGCAAAAAGTACGCTTGGCTGACGGATGCTGACGCGGTCGACCGCCACAGTACTAGTCTCCGCTCACGGCAAGGCTTTTGCGGCAATGGCGGTGGGCCCCAGGCCCTGGAAACAATGGGGGAGGAAGCCGCCGAACGGATCCGCAACCTATCCGCCTCCGGGCTTGCGTCAGCCGGTCGCATCGAACCCTCCGATCACCGCGATGCTGATGATGATGATTTGGCTCGTATGATGGAGGAAGAGCTCGCACAGGGTTGTTGATGCAGACCCATATATCTGACGTAATTCCTTCTTCGACTTTTGTTCTCCATTTGCGAAAAATATGATACCCATACCTGAAGAGATCAGATATCGTCACTTCTTCCTGCAAGATATCCATGTCGTTTTAGTTATCCTCTCGGGAGTTTTATGTTCCCCGCTTACCAAAGCACTTCCTTGACTTTCACAACCACCTGCACCCAAATACCCTGTATGCCCGTTGCATAGCTGCATTGTCGGTGTTATGTTCAGTTGTCCGAGTAGTAGTTGTCATCGCTTCCATAGTATCTAATGAGTATCCAGATACACAAGCTTACTATTCGCGGGGAAAGTGCCGCGCATGCATAGCCCGAGCTTCCAACTTTTGTTGTTTTATCCCAATTTCCCTTCCCTTTCCGCCTGTGTCGCCAGAAGATGAAGTCATCAGTGAGCGACACAGCTTCGAAAACCAAGATTTTCTGCACATGATCAATCTACAAGGAGAAACTCAAAGGGAAATGATAATTTCATGCAAGCAAAAAATCCTTAGCAAATGTACTTCATAAGTCGTCAAGATCGTCAATTGAAAGTTTTTCCCCCTCCCTCTTGCATTTCAAATGTAGTGGAAAAGAAGTAATTAGGGGGGAAAAAGTTCGGTCTAGAATCACACAAGTCCTTTTCTTCGTCCCAGCTTTTCCCAATTGCCTAGATCTATGGTATGTGTTGAATCGGATCAGTTTGAGGGTTGATAAGAGGTATGTATGGGGATTGGGGTGATGGGGCTTGGAAATCCCGTTGCTAGGGGTATATGTGGTGGTGGGAATAGGTGGGAGCATGTATAGGTGATGCAAGATGTCGGATTGTGTAGGTGGCTTGGTTTTGTGATGAACAAGGTATTGGTGCACTCGCTTTGGTTACCCTCAGTCCTAGAGAGTCCCACTGAGAAGACGGAATAAACACTAAAAAAAAAATCAGATCCTCAACCCCTCTCGCTTCTCCACGTTCGATGCTTCGGACGAAGAAGCCGACGCCGGGGCCGCATCCGGGTGGTGTTTCTCCCGATCCGCCCGCTTCAACTGCTTCCTCGCCTTGCGGCCGCCACAGCACGAGGCGCAGCAGGACCCCAGCTGCAGGATGAAGGCGAGGAGATTGAACCCGGAGGCGATCCACATGAACGCCAGCATGCGGGTGCCGAGGGAGGCGCCGATGTTGAGGTCGTAGTCGGACGAGGTGAAGACGTTGCGGAAGATGATGAACATGACCGTCGCGACCACCGAGGCGACGATGGTGAAGAGCGCCGTCACGAAGGTGAGGATGAGGAAGGGGAAGGCGCGCAGGAAGACGAAAGTGCGGCGGCGGTGCTGCGGGTGGGCTTGGTTGACGGTCGGGTCGGCGGAGATGGTCTGCGGGGGCCGCGACGAGACGGCCAGGGGCGAGAGGAAGATCAGGATGAAGGTGAGGACGGTCGCCGTCAGGAAGAGGCCGAACATCCAGTGCGAGGCAATCCGCGCGATCTTGAGGGCGGAGGTGATATCGGAGGGAAGGGCAACTGGTGGTTGTTATTCCGAGTTAGATTGAGCTGCTGGTAATATACCTAGGGGAGGAAACGTACTGGTTGCGCCGGAGAGAAGCTCATTGAGGATGATCTCGACGGGGTTGAACCAGTAGAGAGTCTTGGGCTTCGAGCAGTTCGTAATCCCCTCGTCGAGGTAGCCCTCGCAGAAATTCCAGAGGCCGACTTGGTAGAAGTCGTGCAACCCGATGGTCCGGGCGATGGTGTTGATCAGGACGGCATTGGGGACGGAGAGTGGGATGATATTGGCCAGGTCGATCTTGAGGAAATAGGTCTCGCGGATGACGGGTTGGTCGGCGACATTGCCAATTACCACCAGAAGCAAAAAGATCCAGGCAATCAGGTAGCACAGCGAGCGGAGGATGCGATGCCAGAGTACCTTGGACCGTGTCCTACCGGCTTGCGGTCGTTGGGTGGACTTGTTGAATGAAGGAAGCTTTGCCATGGAAATCGGCGCAACTGTCGAGTTCGGATCAGGGCGGATGAGTTGGAGGGAAGCCCCGAGGAGTTCAGGGGGAGATCAGATAGCAAGCTGCGCAAATCAAAGAGGAGGCTGATGGTCTGAACGAGTGGTTGCGTGGATGCAGAATCGGAAAATGCAGGCTAGAGAAAAACTGCTGCAGAGGCACAGGAAAGTGCGTGGGTGTATATACTATCTATACACCCAAGGTCCCAGAAACTCAACCGACCACAGTGGATGATGACGTTACACCTCCAGGAACCACGTGCTAGGAGAAATGACCCTCTGCTAAACCTAAAGACCCTGACAGTTTGGGTGGAAAGTGAGAATTCCAATGGTAAGGACTATAGGGGGAAAGGGGGGAAAGAGGGAGAAGATGAAGAGAGTGGTAGAGACTGATGAGGTGGACTGAGGTGGACTGAGGTGGAAAGGGGATACAACAGGAGAAAG